AGCCGCATATATTGAGAAGATAATTGTTGGGGTAGGGCTGGTCACTTGTACATAAATGTAGAATTTCTACGATTAAGTCTTTGACAAGATAATTAGCTAAAAAAAAAAAGTAAATAACTGAAGTCAAGAGGGGTTATCAAATACTGGTTGGGAAACTTTTTAAGCACAGAGAATGGCAAGCGCATTGTGTGGTGTTGTAATTGTCTAGCTCCATCAAGAGGAATTAAAATGAAAGACACCACATATATCAGCCTGGTTAGATTTCAAGATTTTTGAAAAATGTCATTTGCAATTCTCTTGATTACTCCTGTTTCCACAAAATATAATAAAGCTAGGGTATTGTGTTCCTCATGTTCAAACCCTTTGTACTTTGTAGCTCTGCATAAAAGATAAACTGGTGCTATGCTCTTCAGACAGTTCTCTACCAATTAACATTTCATTATCAGTGTTCTTCCTCTAAGACCCGAAAATAATTACAGCTACCACCCCTTGTTGATTGGTGTAGATGGACAAGTTATTTCCTCTTCTGAATTCAGCTTCCTTATATGTTTAAAAGCTTGTAATAGCATAGTTTACTTCCTTCAGAAAGCAGATGTAAGAGTGACCTAAAAGGTAGACAAATGTGGCCAACACATTTAAAGGTTCTATGCCTGCATTTTCAGTGCAATCTTGCAGTTTCAGTTCATGAAAGTAAGTGCAACAGATTAGACTGGTAATCATTATCCAGTAGGAAATTTGGGTAGCATTCTCCACTTGGTCAATAGCCTTTGTCTTCGTTCAATTTTCTCTATAACTATGTGTTCATTTTTCCATTTTTTTTCCTCTATATGACATACTTCCAGTTTGGAGGGAAAGGATTCTGAGTCAGACTGGCTAACACAAACTGCTGTGAATGATATTGCTGCCACAAAGAGAAAAGGAGTGTATCACGTTGACTTTAAAATGCAGCTCTATCTTATAGTAGAATACGTTATCATCAGACAAAGGGTTGGGGGAAAATAATAAAGGTCATCAAGGAATAATAATTCTAGAAAAGCTTTGACATGATGGAGAGAGTCATTTAAACTTTTATATCTTGGGGATACTGACCAAAATTGTGTGAACTGAGCTACATGAAAATATATGACCACAGGCAAAATCATGACTGTGAAATCTTTAACTAGCAAGGGAGACGATCTCCAAAGTATGATTGCAAATATACATGAATTGATACCTTAATGAATTATTTTGTCCCTCCTATCTTAAGTACTACCGTATATAGGGCATCCCTGTATTATATAAGGAGGGCGTGTAGTATTCCTTTGTTATAATTGTCTTAGTTTTATTTGAAATTCCTATTTCCCCACTTTGAGCTTTCGTTTCATAGTGGCAGAGGGGTGTAATTCTTGTCTTCTCTATCATCGATTCATAATTGACACTCTAAAATGTAAGATGCAATAACAAGACAAAAACCATAACAGATCTATTTAACTTAGATTTTGTATGACACAAGAGACTTCAGAAATAATAACTGAATAAAATCCAAGAAAACCAAACATGTTTTTATGCTTAGATGAAAAAGGGAAGCTGGATGGAGATGTGATTGGCCAGAAAAGGTCTGACCGAGCTAATTAAATGAGGAAACACAGCAAGGCCTGTCTGTCTCTGTCTGGGTTCTTCTTGGCTGCTCTTTGCATCCTTCCATTCTCCTTGGGAGGCAGAAGGCTCTCTTTCAAATGAAGGTTCCATATTTTCTATCAGATGAAATAGGGTTATAGGATTTCTTTATGAATAGCTCTCATGAAGAAAGGAATAGGAACTTTACAGTAATATATCTAAGTTTTGTGTCTGAATTTGGGGGAGAAAGGCAGCCTACCTCAGAAAAGAAACAGCAAAAGAAAAAGGGCAGGAGAAGATTAGAAAGACACTATATCTGAGGTCTTTCTAGTCTCCTTGAGATCATGGCAAAGTGCTGTCCTTTGTAAAATTATTTTCTGGAGTCCAAAAGTTTGATCTGTCCTACTACCTGTTCCATGGTATCATTTGATGTTTCCTGATGATTTCAAACTCAGCTTGTCTCAAAAGCAAATCACTTTCTCCTTGAAAGCATCTATTAGGTCTGTAAGTAAAAATTCTCAACCACATTGGATGCCAACAAGTACTGTTGTTTTTTTTTTTTTAAAGTAGACTTTATATCTCTGCTTCTCTTTTGATCATTGATATTGAGAAGGCTAAGACTAACTTGCTATTCCATACCTCACATCTAGTTTTTTTCTTCTCCTGTATTCCTTTACATTCTCAGGGCATATGTTTGCCTACTTTTTAAAATGTATAGACTCATACATTGAATTAATAAACAGACAAACAAGTATATAACAAGTAATAGGCAAATATAAAAGGATTTTAGATTTTTTTTTAAAAAAATCTAAATTCTTATTAATTAAGAAGAAAACACTAATACTTTTCTAAAATATAGAAATTGGGTTTCAACAAAATGATTTAATAAAATAAGGCACAATGTTTAATAAGGCAAATATGCACACAAGGCTGGTATAGATGACAATATTCTGTTGTATCCTGGAGGATGACAGAGAAGGACTAGAACTGAAGTGGCTTAAATATTCTTTTTGCCTAATTGTTTTTTTTACTAAATTTTACTTTTTCATCTATGATGTTCATTCCTGTATTGTGCTCTAATTCCATAAATCTAATTCCATTTTAAAAATTAACTTGAAATATTCTCCACTTTAAAGAGATTTTCTTTTAAATATCATCTGTCTTATTAACTCTTTCTCCAAAAGTCCCCCTTGATCATTCCACTGTTTTACACTATTCCTTTTTTTGCATTCTATTTGCCTCTGAACTTCAGCTAACACTTCAAAATTACTCTTCAGTTCTTCCAAGTTGTCTTCACCTTCCAATCCTTTTCAGATTTCAAATGAGTTCTAAAGAGAGTTCAACTGTTGGTCATCTATCTCTAGAAAGTAGTTGAAATTAAAGACACTGGATATAGGGTAATTTGTGATTCAATATAAGGACATGCCAAGATTCCTGTTATAAGTTTATAATTCCAGCCCTCAGGAAGCTGAGGAAGGAGGACTGTTGTGAGTTCCAGGCCAGCCTGCACTTTGTTTCAAATATAGATAGATAGATAGATAGATAGATAGATAGATAGATAGATAGACAGACAGACAGACAGACAGACAGATAGATAGATAGTGAGAGAGACAGACAGACAGACAGACAAACAGAGGCAGACAGACAGAGGCAGACAGACAGAGAGACAGAGATAAACTAAAAAAAAGAAAGAAAAAAGAGAGGGACTTCATTTACATTGAAATGGTAGTTGAAGATTATAAGCAGACTTTTTCTTTTCTTTTTTTAAGTGTATTTGGGACAGGGGCTCACTACACAGCTCAGGCGCATAGTGATCCCTCTGTTTTCAGCCTCCCCAGTGCTAGGATTACAGGCGTGCTTTATCATGCCTGGTCTCGGTTGCTGGCTCAGAGCGCCCAGGGGTGGGGCCGGCACAGCATGTGGTGCCGGGGATTGAATGCTGGTCCCTGCACTTGCCTATGCAACAGGTGCTTAGTCTGCTGAGCTATCTCACCAGCCCTCTGAAATCATTTTTAGTAACCTTTTCATTTGTAAAGTTTTGCGGAACTAGTAAATCACTAATGTGAATTCACAGAACATCACACTTTCAGTGTAAATATTGCAGTGAAAAAAATCTGAAATATTATCTGAACTGTCCTTATCTGACTAAAACAATGAGTCCCAAAAGTAAAGGTACCCCTGATTCTCTTCTGAGGGCATTTTGTACAAATTTTAGGAAGGAGACAGCCCATTCCTTTAGAACGAAAACTCCAATGGAACCATTTATAGTTCCCACTGATGTCAGAAAACTCCTTTTTTATTAATTACCATATAAATATTTATCTCTGGATATTCAGTTATTCATTATTGACTACCTTCTTGTGCATGTAAACATATTCTTTTTGATCCTCTTAATGTGTCATATGTCTTTTAATTCAAAGACTCTTTCCACACTCAACTGTTCAAATCTAAGTGAGTGAAGAAAAGCTTTTCTGAAAACCATGGAAATATCACCATGTGTGTTTTCATGAATCTCTCTTTCCTTCTCTACAGCACCTACCTGCATTTATTTCCTTTTCTTCTGTGTATTTGACTTCTTATGGCCTGGACATCACGCTCACTATTTTGCCCTTCTAATACTAAACACAATGGCATAATCACTTGGCAGAAACTTCTCACAAAACAAACAAACAAAAAATCCTGATAGAAGTAAAGTGTCTTGCTTGTAGTTATTTCCTCTCCAGCAGCTGAAGCCCTGAAGACCTAGATCTGTGACCACTCTGGTTAGATCAGGGTGCAGCATTATCAATTTTGTCTTGGAAAGCAGAACCCTGCTTTTAGAAATTAGGATTTGTAACCAGAGAAATTTAACCACTTTTAGACAGCTAGCCAAATAGGTCATGTGCATGTGAGGTTGGGTGCTGGTTTTGGAGAAACAAGAACAAATTAGCAAAGAGTAAGAAAGAAAGATAGGGAAAAAATGACGCAGAGTCAAATTTAGGGCTATAAGGAAAGTTAGGGTGCTTTTTTTTCTTTCTTTCTTTT